CAAATTGAGCTAATACCCTTAATAATAATGATATACATGAAAAACTTGAGCGCATCTGATAGGCTGAAAACGGATGCATTTTTCATGTGATACGAGAGCAAATTAGAAGAAGAAGCAAGTTTTCCTATTTTAGCTTTTGCAGTGTTACTCACTATTTTACCATTTTTTAAAAAGTTCCAGATAATAGAGACATGTGTTGTTTATCAGGCGTACTTTCCTCTACGAAAAGATACAGTTTACGACAGTGAGATAACAGGGACCTCTTGCACGTTTAGTTCGTGTCACAAGCTAAAGGGAGCAGACTGGAAAAGAAGCAGAGAGTGGACTTCTTCATTCGAAAAAAATGACTCTAAACTGCTAGTGATTATGATAAGGATGAGCTAAGTCGAGAAGAGAACTTGCCTAAGAATCACCTCACTCTTCAAAATAGAATGTGATGATCAGTAAGATCGTTGGAAGTGTAAAAATTCCCTCAACTTATCAGTCATTGTCAGTCAGTGACAAACCTACTTTCTCATGAACACACCATTATAACATCATGCAATATAGCATATAACATGGTAACTTTAAAATAAGAATTGAAATATGGGACCAGTACATACGAATTATTTTAAAATGCTTATTTTGGTGGAACAGTCTTGTTACAGTAGTTATAATCATTCTAGAAAATCAATGGTTCTGCAGTCAGTATTATTCGATGAATTTCTGGTGACCTGCTCCTTAGCTGATCCAGCCCTTTTTCTAAGAGTTACTGATACCTCAAAAAGTTCAATAATGGCATCAATTATGACCTTTGCCTGAAAGAAAAAATAACACATCCTTAGAATAATTAATAATTGCAAGTGCTTAATGAGCAACATTCAAGATTAAATGTTATTTGACTTATTTGCACACTTACTTGAGTAGTCTCATCTTTTATCCTAATACCTTCCAAACTAATAGTCAGTATAACCCTCTCTCTGTGCTGCCCCTTTTTCTTTGCCTGAGCCTAGTGTAAATAACGATAATAATAATGATAATGATAATGATAATAATAATAATAATAATGATAATAATAATAATAATAATAATAAAAATAATAATAATAATAATAAAACAGACATATTTATTACTAGCTAGCATTCCAGGACTGAAAGGATTATTATGTTACCAGAAGGATGAGCGAAAAGATATTGCTGTGCATTGGGATAAGGTAATAGAGAAGGGGCCAGGTACCAAATTGGGCTGAATGAATGGCAGTTTATGACAAGCTTTCATGATCAACTATAGGCAGTATCAATTTGTCATATTGGCACTTGCCTTTGGTAAGTACACTGAGAAGTTTTTATCACTTACTGGTAAGTTATAATAATGCAACTCAGGCAGTTTTATGGTGGCATGTTCAAGGAATAACAGCCTATAATTGTCATGTTTTAGAAATGTAACACAACTTATAATTGCCATTATGGCAAAAAATAAATTTAAGCTTTGATTCAAGTTCATGAATTAACATGACTCATGAACTGGTACACTGCACCTTTAATTTCCTTAAAGCCTCAGCACACATATCCCTACCCTCTGGGCTAGCGACATCTGTTATCCCTACAAGCTTTGAATTAAAAGTAAGCAAAACAGTGTTGAAATGGTTTTGAAAATTAAGGAGAAGGGGAATTTGACTAATAAATTGGCAAAATCAGTAAAAATTGCAACTGAAGAATATTGGTCAGACCTTGCACTGAATTTTGGTTCCTTCTCCACTGGTTCCCATTTTCTTAATAACAAGAAAAGAAGAAAAAAATCCCAATTTACTACCAGAAGCATCAGTATGAAAACTCTAATTGTATTCTAATGCACAAAAAATAAGAACACTTAGAATTAATGCCATTAAGCACAAAGTAAATTTGCCTCTAATTTGTGGGCAAATTGTTTTACACCTAACCATGAACCCATCATGGCCTTTAGACTTAAGTCTGCCCAAAAGCAAAACTTATATGGGAATTAAACAATTATGATTTTACAGAAAATGCCTATCCCTCAAACAACAGTTTTACCTTCCTGGATTCATCCCTTCCACCAAGTCAACAAGTGAAATACCCAACCATGTCCAAGGTTTCCCCTTTGGATTTCCAAGGACTTGTTACCAGTTTCCACTATCATAGTATCAATGACAGTCATGACACTATTTCCTGTGTTAAATGTTTAGTCAAAGCATGGCTAAAAAACTAAGGGCATCAACCTGGAAGAGATATTTTTACTCCTACTTCACCATGAAATGGACTGGGTCATATGTTTTTGTTGTGTGTGCCACCAGATCATTATAAGACTTAAAAAATTATGGTAGAAGATTAGCTGCCTCGTCAAATTTCAAGAAACAGGTGAAATAACGGTTTTCTTCCCAATTATTTTAAGACTGAATTTCCTTTTAGAAGAATTTTCTGATCTCTTTACTTAAGGAATCTTTCCTTATCATATAGCTTTAGTTCTTAGTATTTTTATTGTAATGCATAACATAGATAACTTATCGAACCACCATGTACTCTCAGATCTCCAGTATTGTGCTACTCATGCAAACATTACAATGATCATCGTTTATTGAGAGGTGAGGTTGTAATGCACAACATATAAACGTCATATTATGTCATAATACACTTCCTTAGCAAACGGAGTCTTTTAAACACTCATTTAGTTCCTTCACACGCCAGCTGAATAAATCGTTGAATTTGACGCCAAATTTTCTATCAACGGATACTACATTCAAATCACCTGAGGCTCTCATAGGGGTGTTGGCTTTCACCGCGAACGGTTAAAATTATGGACATTTTACGGCTAACAGTTCATTTTTTTCCGTTTGAGGTTACGAGGAAAATTTTTTAAGTCCACTGTTTTTACGTCTAGCCGTTAAATTTTGTCAAGTTTACGTCTAAAGACTTAACAAACTAATGCCATTTTACGGCTAATGGTTGACCCCACTGAGAGCCTCTTACCTCAAGATTGTAGTCTTGTTAGTCTTAGACAGATAGAAGGGGCGTGGGATCGCAGATTATTTTTTCTAGGGCTACCCTCGATACACAGTCCGCTATTATTACAGTATTCCAAATATACATGGTCTCGTCTAAACACGTGACAAAAAGCTGGGGGCTATTTCGCTGGGGATTTGATGAAAAGTTGGGCCAGAACTGAAATGTATCTTCCATGGTGTTTCACCAAAATACAATTTACGACAACTACAAGGTTGAATTAGGAGTTAACAGCAGATTCGACCCTGGGAACAGCATCTTCCCCAATATGCTATGTCTTAAGTAACTTCGACTCTATATTTAAACAGAATTTTCTCTTGGCATGTTGGTCAGTCATAAGGCAAACGAAACAAATAATGTTTTATTACTTAATTTTATTATTGAGTTACACAGCTTATAAAAACATATTATCAGTGAGTGGTTTGAGACAAGGTGAAACATTTGGTCGTGTAGTCTGGTCGTCCGGGTGAGAGTAGTCCTGAAAATGGTGTAAATTTTTATAGACTGTGGTGCTACAACGCATGGGGGATATTACTGCTGCAGTTTTGAAAAAAAAATAAATGTTTGCTATAAAGCAGTGGAATTATCTACCAACCTTTGTGGCATTGCAGGCGTAAAGTTATGGAATCCCTAATGAAAGGGTTCCCAAATCTCCTCAATTAACTAATCAGGGCAAAGAAGTGAATGTGTGGGAACTGTAGTAAGTGTAAAATGATGAAAATTAAAAATGTTAGTTTTTAAGTAGAGCACGTACCATTAGGCAGCGCAAAAATAAAATGATTAGTTGATGAAAAGCACTAACGTTAAGGGACCAACAAACTGCAAGGCAACTACGTCAACCACGAGGCAGTGTTAAAATAAAATTATTAGTTGTTAAATTGTGTCATCTCCTTGCTTTACAGAAAAAAATTTTTTTTTACAAAAAACAATCTTATTACTGAGTCACACAGCTTATACAAGAATTTTAACGGAGAGTGGTTTGAGACAAGGTGAAACATTTGGTCGTGTAGTCTGATCGTCCGGGTGAGAGTAGTCCTGAAAATGGTCTAAGTTTTTATAAACTGTGGTGCTGCGTCGCGTGTGGTGCTGCGTGTTCCTAAAGCTGACTTTTCGAGCGTCAGCCCTTCGTCCGATAAAATCAAATATTCTGATATTGCCTCCACCAACGCAACACCTCAGTTCTTTTTTTCAGAAACTTACCCCTTCTAGTCCTGAAAAGGACTGTTGTCGGTAAAAGTGACTGCTGTTTCGACAACCTGGGCGCAATTCACCAAAGGAGTTTTCCATTAAGGTTGCTGTATTCACTGTCACAACGAGCAATCCTTTTCAGTATTACTCACACCCAGACGATCAGACCCCATGATCAAAAACACATCTCTAAAATATTTATAACAGATAGAGCCTGTCTCAGCTGGTAAATTAATTTCTAACTTTAAACTAATTATATAAAATGAGAGGACCACCTTCTATCATGTGAACTGCGGTGTTATGCAAGGATTTTCAGCCCTGAGAAAAGCCGTAACAACACACGTGAAAAAATACGATATTGTTTCACGTGTGTTTGATATAGCCAATCAGCTGCTGACAATTCACTCGCCTTTCGCGCCACTCGGTCAGGTTGATGAATGAACGGTGAAGCCTTCGCCATTCTCAATCCAAGGTCGTTTGTCGAAATGATTTTTTCGGATTATGGCTGCTAAAACACTGAAAAGTCCGTATTGCTTACAGAGAGTGACGTTCAAACTTTTCTAGAAGACAATGTCCGGAAAGAAAAACCGATAGTTACGTATTCAGTGGCTTTAATAATGGCATTTTTCACGGCTGACAACGAAAATCGACAACTGGAAGATTTCTAACAGGCTGATTTTGGCCGTGTACCTGAAAGATTTCTTCTGTCGGTAAGGACTAAGTCGAAAACTGAGAATTTTGTAAGTTGAAAATTACGCCCATAGTCTGGTTTTTCAACGCATTTTTTCATCTTGAGCCTTAACGCCAATGCACTTCACAATTTTTATTCGGTGATTGTCGATCCCTTTATTTTCATTTATCAATAAAGTCGACTTTTGTTGTTAATAAAGGGCTGTTGTGTTTATATGATAAACAAAATAATACATGGTTGCTTGGAGATGTGAAATTCCTCCTCTTGTGTTCAACTCGACATCTCACTCGTTCGCTGCGCTCACTCGTGAGCTATCGAGTCGAACACTCGAAGAGAAATTCCATATCTATGCGCGCCCATGTATTATTCTCTATGTATCACTTATGAGAAAAAGATAAGAACCCTTCAGGAAGGAAGCCTCATGACAGCGCAGAGCTGAAAGAAAGATAATCGAAATTCGTAATTTACAATGTTGAAAAACTAAGTAATCATATCCGTACTCATCACTTGAGGAAGACTGACAGCATGCGGTCGAAATTCCGCGATCCACACCAGAAATTACTACTTTGTGACACAAACCGTAAAAACTCGTTATCATTAGATAAACATATATAGGCATGCTATGCATGCAAGAGCATACCAAAGAGCGCAACAAAAACGACGCTGTTTGGTGCGAAATACATACCCTAATGCAGCGATCTGATTGGTGCGAGATACTTACGCTAAACGATCTGATTGGTGCGAGCAACATACCACTCTCTGTACACTAACATGGATGTTATTTTTTCTAATAAAAAAAAATAAAAAATCCGCTATCATTAAATAAAAACCCGTTTTAAATGTTATTTTAATGTTATTTTAAATGTTAGTTTAAAGTTGAAAACAGGTCCATACGTATAAAAGGAGGTAAAAATGAACATCTTAGCCTAACTGATAGATTCTTTAACGCAGGTTCTTACTGCAAACCAACGTTTAGGAAACATAATTCGAAGTGAACCATATCTGCTAAATGACGGCAGTCACTACACTCTTACGCAACTCTATGATGTCTTAAAACATTAACCTCCGTGATAACAAAACAATATCCTCTCTTTTCTTGACTATTGGATGGCTTTTCTTTTTACTATTTCTACATCCAAAACTTTGATCCAAGAGTTGGCAAAGCGCAAACGTGTTTTCGCATGGAATACGCATAAATTTTGCGATCCAAATTTAAACACCAGAGAACCTGTTTGCACCATAAACCGCTTTACAATTTACATTTGTACGCTTTTATATGCTTCCTCAAAGCAGCATCTATTAAGTAATGACATGTTAACAATAAGGTTTCTTTTCTATATCTATCAAAGAAAATTTATAATTGTTATCATATTTGCTCAATATCGTTACCAAATAATTCCACATAGACATAGCCCGAAAATAGTCTTCCTGCAAAAGTATGAACCATTATAGAGTCTCACGGCAAGTCTCACGACAACAAGATACGAGAGAACTTGCAAAGCCAGGCATCGAATAAAAAGGCTATGACCTAACTGTCGGTTTCAACGCAACCTCTCCAGTTCACTTATGATCTCTGTCATGTCTGGTCTTTCCCTGGGATTTGTCTTCAGACATCGTCGCACGAGTTCTCGCAGGCCATGGTCTCTTACCATATTGACTTGCGCTAGGCGCTTTTGTGGGTCTGGAAACTGCTTAAAGGAGCACATTTCACACAGGAGAACACCGAAACTGTAGACATCAATCTTAAAAAAAAACAGCAACAAAAAAATTAAACCAAAATTAATTATCATTCGGGTCTCGGGAATAATTTAAATATTATTGAATCTGGAATACTTTCCCTCCCCTTGAGACGAATACCAGGCACGATCAAGAGAGTTCGTGGAAGCGACTTGCTGTCGTTCACGGTACAATGCTGTGCGTTTGTGTTTTATAATCGCCCTTCAAGGTTGTTCAAATTATTGATCTTTGTTCTAGATGCTCGGCTAGGTCTTTGATTAGTGTAACGAGATTTTTAGTACCTATTTCTTGTACTTAGCGAAGTTCTTAAGACTGAACTGATGTAAAGGGTTTGACTATAATTGGCTATCTTTACGGCCTTGTTATTATCGCTTGTCAAAGGGAACTGCATGCTTATTCTGCCGCGTGATAGTATTACACTCGGCAGTATTATAGAGTGATTAACCATGCAAAAATAGACAGATGGACGAAATTAAAAAAGGTCTGCGCATTTAAAGAATATTTCTTCCCTTGGTTTTAACAAAAAGGTAAATTGTTTTTTTCTAAATAATTGAAAGTAACCTTTTTGTCACGTTTACAAAATGTAAATGCGAGCTAAAAGAGCTAAATTATCATTCCATCTGTATGATAAACAATCCATCATATCATTCCATTTAAATTACCACTCCAATGTACTTTAACTACTTCATTTGAGAGCCTGAGACAACAAGACATCTTTTCCTTTCCAATTAAACAGGAAATATTTGTTGGTAAGCTGTTCAAGGAAATGTGTTCCCGCGTTAACGACTTTACGAATTATTTTATTCAAGTGTCTCATCAACTTTCTCTTTTATCACTCTTTTACCGCTTTAAATAGTATGGAAAACTATTGCTATGTAACTCAGTAACTTATCCATACGACAAGGGCAGTGGTGGTTGCATGTAAGTTACGCAGTAAGGCAAATAGGTGCATTATATATCTCCTAACCTTCGCCGTCTGATTCGAAGATTTATTTACTTCGGGAGCGCTGTAGGCAAAACAGCCAGGACCAATTGACATCTTCTGTTCCTTGAATTTGGCAGCGCCGTAATCAGAAACTTTCCCTCGCCATCGATTTCCTTGTCGCCATAGCAACACATTGCCACTGCTGATGTCACGATGGATAATCGGAGAAGGTTTCTTTTGGTGAAGGTAATTTAAAGCTTGAGCCACATCCAGAGCAATAACAGATATTTCGGCCTTGGAAAGAGGTCGCTGCTCTAACAGTTGCCTCAAACTTGTTTCCATGAGCTCCGTGACATAGAGGGGAATTCCCTCGTCATTAGTTGCTCCGATAAACTGCAGTAAGCAAGGATGGCGGCATCTTGAGGCGATGTCAATCTCTCGCCAGAACAAACTCTGGTTATGAGGAGAAACGATGGTTTCGTGCATTTGTTTGACAGCGACGGAGCACCCACAATACCTGCCTTCAAACACCTCTGCCCAGCCTCCAGCTCCAAGAGTGATATCCGATATTTGAATCTCATCTCGAGGGATAATCCAGTCGCAGAACTGTGACTCCAATTTATCCTCCAGAATCGCAACTTGTTGCCTTAAATTAGCACTTTCCACTTCTCTCTCTGCAAGTTGTCGTTGAGCATTCCTCCATCGGTCTTTCATCTCCGTGACCTGTCTCTGCAAATTTTCCCTTTCCCGTAACTGCTGCTGTAACTCGCCAAGATGTGTTCGTAAATTTTCTTCTCGTTCTTCTTTCTCTCTGCACTCCAGCTCCTTTTCACTCAACTTTCTTTGAAAGTTTGATACTCGTTGAGTTCTTTCAATAAGCTGATCACGAAACCATGTTTCGCTCGTTTCAGTTTTCTTTATTTTTTCTTTCCAACTTTGCTCTCGTTCTTCTTTCTCAGTCAACTGTTTCTGCAAGTTCTCTATTTGCTGGTCTTTATCTTTGAGCCGTATATTAAACGTAGTTTCTTCCTCTTTCAGTCGTCGTTCCATCTCTTTAAGCTGAGTC